TGCTGCGCATCGGCAGCGTCAGCCTCCTGCAGCCCCTCCCCGGGCCGCCCATGCAGGAGCATCATCTGGACAGCAACATCTTCATCCGCCTGCCCGACAAGCCCCTTAAGCCGGGCGAGGTGCTGAGCATCCTCCTCTACCTGATGTCCAACTCCACGGTGGAGCACTTCACGCTCAGGTAGGGTCCCGAGACTGCCCCCACTCCGGGAGCAGACGCCTTTCGAGGGGGTGGTTGTTTCGGCTGGGCTGTGCGAAGGCAGCCATGGACAGGAGGGTGAGGATGATGAGGACATGTTGCATTTATGGGACCTGCCAGGGGCTGGCAGGGCTTTGTGAAGGTGAAGGAGGTCAGAGGAGCGGCCGGCGCGTGGTTTTGCAACATTTTTGGGCTTTGCAGTGGGAGTTTCTTGGAGGGAAAGGAAGGGAAGTTCATCCAGGGTTTCCATCTCTGCATCGCCACTCTGGGCTGGTGCCTTCACCCTCCCAGTGCTCCTTGGATTGGGATTAGGGCCCTGACAACAGTTGTGGGTTTGTTCACAGCCACTTTGGGGACAAGGTGCGGTATGGCCATGGGGGTGCTGTGGGATGAGCAGGGGCTCCCTGTGTCCCCCCCGTCCTGCCCCAGAGCCGGTATGGGAGCAGAATGGGGCAGTGGGTGAGAGGTGCTGAGTGGCCCAGTACGGGGAGGTATGGGAGGAACCCCATTTCTGTGTGTCCCTAAGGATGGGGGGACAAGCCCCTGCCACATCTCCTTGAAGGTCATTTACAAGTGTCCCCGTGGCCATCGGGCCAGCAGCAAGCCCCTGGCATGGGGGACATGGCACTTGAGGCTCTTCTGTCCTTCACCCTGGGGACACCCAGCACCACAGGGGCATTAACTGTCCTGGGGAGCAGCACTGGGGCTGAGGGACCAAACTCCTGCTGGAGGGGTGATGGGGGGACAAAATCCTGTGAAAAAGGGGGGCTGGGTTGGACTCAGCCCCGTGGCTGTTGCTGCCAGCACGGATGATGTTTCTGACAGCCAGGAGGGATCTGGAGCAAAAAATCCCCCTGCGCCCATGGTGGGGGGCCTGGGAGGGTCCAGGGGTGCCTGGAAGCGAGGGATCTGGGCCTGACCGTCACTCTCTGCAGGGTGAAGGCCAAGAAAGGTGTCAACCTGATCAGCACCAAGTCGAGGAGCAGGCAGTGGCTGGTGAGCTCGGAGCTGCTGACGGGTGGCAAGCACTCTACCGCCACTGTCGATGTGGCCCGGGCAGACGGTGCCGGGCCCAGGTAAGGGCCCCCCCCCTCCCCCCAGCCCCGGAGGTTTGGGGAAACTGCTTGGGTTTGGCCTGAAGTGACTCCTCCTTTGTCCCCACCCTGGGTGCCTGGTTGGCTTTGGTGCCCCATGGGTGCTGGCAGGGGAAACTGAGGCACAGCAGTGCACAGCCCAGACCACGGGACTTGGAGGTGCTGGAGGGGGATGAGCAATTTTGGGGTTAAACTTTCAGTCCAGTTGAGACTGGGGTAGGTCCCGCACCGACATGGGAAGGAGCTTAATTTTGTGTGTGGTTTTTATCCTTCGCCGTGCAGCTGGCTAAATGGCCAGTGAAGGTGGGTTTCATGGCCCAAGGTGGGCAAGTTTGTGGTCAGGCAGGCAGCTGCCCAAGGGCTGGGTGAAGTGGTGTGTTCAGGTGGGTTCTGCTCTGTGGTCAACACAGGTGACCAGACTGGGGCTTGAGCTATGCAATGCGCTCAGAAGTCATTGGTACCACGTACCAGCTGAATCCCTGGCCCTGAGCTGGGATCACCTGGCCATGTCAGATGCTGGTGGGCACTTGTGGTGGATTTTGGGGCTGAATTGTGAAGCCATGGGGGATCCCTCAGTTTGGGGTGAGGTACTTGAATTTTTTAAATAGTTTTAATACCAGGAGAGGCAGCAGCTCTTTGCTGACTATCCTGGTGTCTCCCCTGGGAAGGAAGTGGAGCAGTCCCCAGGCAAGGTCACTTCTAGATCCTAAGGTGATGGATGAGTGTCAGATGGGGAGCACAAACCAAGGCAGCAGCTGAGACAGGCAGAGCCAGTTCTGCCCTGCTACACATAAGGATGATGCCCATTCCTGGGGCTCTGGGAAGGGCTGGAGTTGGTTGAGGAGAGTCCAGGGGATAGAAATGAGAATGATCTGAAGGAGCGAGGACCCACAAAGCCAAGTTGAAAACCCAGAGGCTGCTCAGCCTGGAGAAGGGGAGATGTGGGACTGGTCTGTGAGTGCAGAGAGGCTGCACGGGCAAGGGGCAGCTTTGCTCCTTGCATCCAAGTGGGCAGGACACGGTGAGCAAGGGCAGGGGATGGGCACGGGATCAAAACCACCAACAGGAAAGACTCTGAAGTGCTGGAAAGCAATTGTTCCCAGGCTGTGATATCTCCATCGCTGTGTCTTTGGGAAAAGAGAGACAAGTGTCACCGGGAGCTGGGTTAAAGTGAGTTGATGTGCTCGAGCCGTTCCTGCCCTCTGCATTGGAAATCTCCCCATATCCCTGCCCCCCACCCCAAAAGTGAGCGAAGGCGGAGATGAGCTCTTGCAGGAAGAAGTTCCTCAGCTCTGACTGCTTCGAACATGACCTCAAAATCTATCTGCAGGAAACCCCTCCAAAGGACTTACCCGGAGAGTGGATTTTCCTTTACCCCACACCATTGCTTCCAAATACAAAATGCAACTGCAGCATCTGAGCCCACAGCCCCGTGGCTGACATTGGAGTGTCCCCGGGGCCATGAGCCCCCCCATCCTCTGCATGGCCATCCCAGCACTCCTGCACACGGCTGCCAGACCTGCCAGCAGCAAGATCCTCTCCTCTCCCCCTTCCCCCTCTCCCTGTCTGCCGCTGCTTCAAATCAGCCTGCAAAGGTTAGAGACGGAGGATGAATTTAAAGTGATTACAATCACCTTTTAGACAAACAACTCCATCAAATATTAACAGAATGGAAAGTATGAATGACTCAAAGCCGTGTTGCCCTCCAGGCTACGCAGTCGGAGGAGTCTGCTTCACTGAGGCTCTGGGGGCTTTTGGCAGCACTGGCTGTGGAAGGAGGGGGCAAGAGCCCTGAGCTTTGGAGTGATAATAGCCCATTTTGGATGTTTTGCACCCTGGCAGCTGTATCCTAAGTTTCCCGTCTGGGCAGCCTGGCTCTTCTCTGTCATGGCTGAGAGCAGACGATGCTCAGGGAGGGCAGAAGATGGTGGCTGGCCCCTGGCAGGGCTCCTGGGATGCCTAGGGGCACCCCATGGCGAGGAGTCCCAGCGCCGAACCGCCCCTGGCATGAAGCCGCAGCTCTGGTTTGCCTTTGAATCTTGCTCTTTGCAGCTGTATTTAATACTTTTGTGTTGGAAGAGGCAGTGAGCAGCCAAATCCCCTTCTTCAGACTGGGTGGCCTCTGGCAATTCACCTTGCACCCCTGTAGCTGCCTCGGGGGCACAAAGTTCCAGCAGGACCCCAGACACAGCAGCAGCGCTGGTGCAAAGCCATCATTC